GGTCATGATTTTAACAGCACTATAATTTACAAAGCGCAGCCCACACCACACAGACTCAAATGCCACTTTGATTCCATGACTGTTTTATCCCTGATGAACCATCATACTGATTTTTATAAACACTTCATTAAATATTACTCTATCTAAAAAAAGAAAAATTCAGCATTCAAACAACTAAGCACTTCAACAGCCCAATATAATATATATATATTTTGTAATAAATCAAAAATAGTCACTTGATTAGATTCTGTAATTTTATTGCTGACATCATTTTACTTGAGTAGCACAAAATGCAAAGAACTAAACCATGTTTGGAAAAGCAGAAAGAATTACTAAGAATGTAAGGAGGCACTTTTTTGCTTTATTTATCCCAGATTAATAATAGTTAACGTTGCCTGGTTTCTTCCTGAAAAACTATTTTTTCACCTTTTTCTCAGCAAGTTGGACTTTATGAAAATCATCACATGGATATACTTTATTATTCCAGTTTAACACTATTTTAAAAGAATTCAATGCTTTTTGACACCAATTGTTACAACATGCATTCATTTAGAAAGAACAGTGGTATAGTGAATTAAAGGTCCTTGTATTTTAACCCAATATTAAAAATCAAGGTAGCTAGTATTTTCCCCTATACAAGAATTTACATATATGTCTTTGATTGGGCTTCTTCATCCAGTGAAAATTTTATTTTAAAAATCACTGAATTGAAGAAAACAAAAAACAATCTATTTCGTTATGTGGATACAACTCATTCCTCTCCTATTTATAGAGAAAGAGCCAGATCCTTCCTACAGAAGCTTACTTTCTCAGGTTTTATGTTTCTGCATTCCTCCTGTCTTATATCTTACACCCCTCTTTGAGCCATCATTTCATAACTGTAGGTAGAAAAAGCACTCAGTCATTTTCTCTGATTTCATATTTTAACAGAATTATTTTTAGATGGACCACAAGCAATCTCATAGAAAAATCTCATTTTCTGGTAGATACTGCAAAGAGTAGGCAGTCTGTCCAGTGCACTGTCCGTTTGTCACTCAGCATAAATAGGGAATCCTATTACCTACAAAGGTATTAGGAAAGTGCTCCCAGCTGAAAGCACTTATCCAATTCCAATTGTTGTTTGGAAGTCTAAAATACTAAAGAGTATTGTTCCGGGAGCTACTGTTTTAAACAATGCAATGCCTGTTTAGAGTGAAAAATCAGTACTTGAAAATCTGAGTTGGTTTAAAAAATAATAACCGTTCATCCAGAAAAGAATTCTTAAAGAAACATTTATATGCCAGGCACATGTTTTTAATTTTAATAACATTGGCTTACGTAAATAAATATGTAGACCCTAATAATTGTTCTCTATATTTTGATATTTTTGTATATTATTCAATTTTAGTCAGTTTGTAAAGAGGCTAATGAATAACAATGTAGGAAAAATATGTATCTGTCAGTACAAAGTTGTGGTTTGTAGGCATTGCAAAATGCTGTGTTGAAAAAGATTATGTTAAAAAGTAATTGAAAACTGCTCTGATTTTAAAAGAAATGAATGTAGCCATATCCTTATAGGATAATGTCAGATAAAAAGTAATCGTGTTCCCTCCACAATTGTGTTTGTTGGCATTTATATAAGAATAATAATGCTTTAAGGTTATTTTCATAGTTGTTCACTGAATGTGAGATTAACATCAAAATCTTAGTAATTATCTGAGATCACCCATTTGAAAGTGGTGTGGTAAAACATGTTAATGGTTAAGACACTCTAGCAGTTTTAATACTAAACAGATTAACACACATGAAAGTAATATTATAATTTGTGCATTGACTAATATGCCAGACCAAATTTTTGGGTGAAGAGAGAATTCTTATGAAATGGTACCCTTTCTGGCTACTGCTTCCTATTTCTCGAAATACTAAAGCAATCAGCTAGGAAACTTCATGAGAGATATACATGGGTATGCATGACTTATGGACTTGAAATATTCTATGGCTTTGTCATTGCACAATTTTATGAAGCTATCATGTCTGAATTTTGCTTTAAATAAAATTGAGAACCAAAATATTACAAAAGGAGGATGATCCAGAAGAATGAAGACACAATTCAGGTGGGATTATAAACCAAAAAATTTTAAAGCATAAAAGAGATTGCTAATCAGCAAGGACGGCTATGAATTTATTTTATGACCACAAGCAAACAAATGTAGGTCCATATCTTATGCATTTTTAAAAATATTGAAGCATATTTTAATATATACCCTAGAGTCTTATAAAAGCATTTCTCTGCCTCAACTTTTCTACCTTCTTCGGCAGTTGACATGAGAGGAAAATGGGTAGTCATTTAGGAAGAAATATGTAATTGTAAATTAATTACCCACGTCATGCTCATCTTTCTTGAATCCATATGAAAACAGATCTCACATCCAAGACACAATTATTTCATAATCTTTGTTACATTCGGCCATATGGGTCAGGGTGGGGTGTGAGATATTGGAAACTAAATTGAATGTAACAAATACAGGTGCCTCCTCCCAGACATGGAGAATGTGTGTTAAAAGACAGTATCTGTATAGCTTCAGCTGCGCCTGAAAGGGAGGTGGGGGTGTCGAGGATTTAAATCATGTTGTTTCCACTTACGCAGAGAGAATCCATAAAAAGAGATTTATTATCATATTTTCTTTTTGAAATGTAGTATTTGTTTTCGACTTTAAAAGTGCTCCTCAGCATAGAACAGAGTAAATATTACAATTTTGTTAAACAGCAGCCAAGATTTAATTGTCTGTGAAATATAAGGCTTAGGACCTGATTTGAGTTAACTACTGTTCTGCTGATACAAACTAGGCTGGCCTGCAGGGTGACCGAACGCACCCAGCGACTGATTTACACAGAGGAACCATCCCGCAAGAAGTCAAGGAGGGCTGGGCGCAGCCACACGCCTGCAGGAGCGCATCCAAAGGGCTTGGAGCTTTATTCTTCCTGCAGCAGATTTAAAGTGACTTTGTACAAAAAGTCAAACAAGAATAAGTAGCTATGGAAAATATAACAAATCATGCTAGCAGTTTAACAGCGAGAGAGAAGGGAAATCCAGTAGTAACCGCTAACAAATACTGAAGAAAAATGTAATGGGGATAGAAGAGGAGAAAGGGAAGAGGAGAGAAAGAAAGCTGGGTAAGGACACAACACTGATTTCCACACGTGTATCGCACATTTTATTTTTATTGTACGTAGTACCTCAGTGGCTCGGTCCGGAACCTGGAAAGCCCGTCTGCTTTAACACTGCTTTGCGCGCCCTTCGCGCGCGTTTAGCAAAGGCTCCGCCGCCCGCTGCCCCCGCGCGTCCCATCCCCCGCGCCACCCCCTCTCCTCGCCACAGCGGCTCTGCGGGTCGCTTCCTCCACCCGCCCAGGGTGCAGAGGAGAGGGCGGGCGGCTGCAGGTTTGCCCCGGTGGCACCGCAGCCACAAGCCAACCCGTAATTGCAAAGTAAACAAGGCTGAAATATTGGATTGGTCTCAATCGTGACAAGATCTACGCTTTTGCCGCCAATTTGTTTGTGCAGCTCTATTTAAAGGCACTTGATTGAGGAAATGTTGAAAATAGCGGTGACGGTTTCCCTAATGAGACCTCAGGAGGGAAGCGCCGGGCTTCGCCCGGCGCGGAGGGCGCGGGGCTGGGGGCGGGGCGCGGTTAACCCCTTCCTGCCCGCCTCCGGCGACAAGTCCTCGGAGCCGAGCTCGGGGAAGCTGGGGGGCCACCCCGGCCGGGAGCGGTGACCTCCCTCGGCCTGCGCGGCGGAAAATCGGCCTCCTCGGTGGTGGGAACCGAGAGGGGTTGGGGATCAAAACGAGAATTTAACCAGGATGGAGGGGGCGACCCAGCAGCCAACGCAGAGGCTAGAGGGCCGGCGGCCGAAATCCGGGGTGGCGGCTCTGGCCTCGCCCCCTGCCTGCCAACATCCCCCGGCCGTGGCCGCAGCCCCGCATCTCCCTCTCCGCGCCCACGGCCCTGCGAGGGCTGAGGTCCTCGGATCCCCGCGGAGGATCCCCCAGTTCTGCGCGGCTCGGGCTACCGAGCCCAGGTGGTGCCCTCCGACGCGACGCGGCCCATCGCTGTGGGACTAGGTCTTAGGCGGCTGGAAGGGAAGGCAAGGAAGCGAAGAGGCAGGAAGAGAAAATACATAAACATTTATTGAGCGCAGCCTGTTCTTCAGGCGTCTTGCTCTCGCGTGCACCATGATCTCATTTAATCTTCCCTACACACCCTCGAGGTCGGTGTCATTACCCCACTGCTCAGCTGGGGAAATTAAGGCTGAGAGACCGACGAGCTTGTCCGAGGTCAGGCAGCCAGTCCGTGGGGGAGCCGAGAGTCCGCCCTGCCCAGCTCTGACTCTGGAGCTCAGGATGTGGAGAGGGGCGACCCGGGGAGGCCAGGCGGAGGCTGGGGCGACCCGGGGAGGCCAGGCGGAGGCTGAGTCTCCCACTCTCGGATCCAACGCAGGCTGACAGAGACCCATTGCAGGCCATCCAGAGGAAGCCTTCTCTGGTCCTCTCCAAGCCTTGGAGATGAAGATCTGTTCCCTAATAGAAGACGTCCAAGTCCTCTACTAGCTCCAGTCGCTTTCAAAATAAAGAAAACCAATCCAATTGCAATTGGGATGTGCGGAATTCACCCGATTTCTCTGTCATCCCTTTTACACAAGCTGTTTAAGCATCTACTGGGTACAATGTATTGATTGGGCTCTCAAGGAACTCACAATCACAGGAGGTGAAAGATATGTGCCGAGAGATCTACCAGAGAGAATATGAGGAGGAGCACCAGAAAAGAGGTCAGAAGAAAGGAGACGATTTGGGGGAGCAAAGAGAAGAGAAGCAATACCTGGAAAGGCTTCCTGGAGGAGGTGGAATTTAAGCTGGGCCTGGAAGAAACAAGGAAGCGTGGACTCTTTAACGTGGGAGAGAGATGGGTTGTTTGCCAGCTGTGCTGGCAAGTCAAGGGGTGCCAGACCCACAGTTGGGGACAATGTGGGGGTCACACTTTCACCACCTGCTGCCATCTCCTGGCTGCAACTCCAACTTGAAGAATTGTGAGCTGATCAAACCCTGAGCCAAAATTCCAGTCTCTCTTAGGGTTGAAAACCGAGGGCTTTGAGATGACACCAGCAGCTAGACTTTGACCCTTCCAGAGCTCTGGACTTGGGCCAAAAGGGACTGTCAAGGGCAGGGGCAGGAAAATGGCACTGGGGGCGCTCTCACCAGAGCTCCTAACTATAAGCCACACATTCCTGCGCTTTTCTCAGAGGGATCTGGTCAGAGATGTACCTTGGCCAATCTGAAGTTTGTCTTTCTGGAGTCACAGGCAGATGTAGATTGGGAAAATGAAGACCCCCAAGGTAGAGGGGGCAGGGGAGGACTGGATTCGGTTGTACTTCCCCAAGTATGATCTTCGCCTTCTGTCAGCAAAACAAAAAAGCATCAGTCACACCGATTTAGTGAAGCCTTCAAATGTGTTCTGAATGGAATTCTGCTTTTTTTTGTATGCAACCAATTCTTTCGTTTGAAGTTGGATGCTTTGCAAGCAGAATGCAATTCCATTTTTTGTTCCTCGAGGTTTTGGCCTGTGTTAACTTAAGTGGGCACTCACACAAGTATTAAAAAGAAAACCATTCTCTTCTGGAAAATGGAACAAAGTAGCGCCTCTCCAATCATGAGGCAGATACATAATCTGTAACAACAAATTAGCCTTCCAGTGCTGCGCATTTCCAGCAAGCATCCTGCCTTCTCTGTTTATATTATAACTTTTCTGCCTGCAATTATTTTTATTTTAATTTTCTGTCACTTTAACAGAAACCAGAGCCTTTTCTTTTAATGTTTTGTACACAACATGTTCATTTTGATAAGATGTTCTTTCCTATCCTCTTTTAGCTTGCCTTCCTTGTTTAGAGTTCTGTATCAGGAGTTTCTAATATTTCTATCTCTTTTTTTTTAAGAACTTGTCCCTGTCTTGCTTTATTTGTTTGTGTGAAATTTAGTTTGAAAGGAGATCAGAGAGAGCAGGAGGGGTTTGTAATAAGAGAATGACCGAATGACCCAAAGGCTGATTATCTATCATTAACTGGAGACTTGGTGTACCCAAATTACCAGGGAGACCTCAGTCTGCCGGATCCTTACCCAGCCAGTAAGGCAAGCGTGGAATGCACACACTGAAACAGACTCAGGGTGTTGCAAATGAAGACACTCTGCTCACACATTTTCTTAAGGAGATTTCCTTTAAAAACTCCCCTCCGGTTCAGCGGACAAATTTGTTAGATTCTGACATGCTGTTCACAGGTAAAAATCTCTGGTAAAAGACTAACTTTAATATTTCTGTAACTAACTTTTTTGTCTTGTTTCATTAGGAGCAAAATTGCAGTTAATTGTCTAAGCTCCAGAGAATATTGAGAAATCAAGCCAAGCTGCTTTTGATCTGCTCGTGCTGCTAAACTCAAGCCTTGTAAAAATCGAGATTTGCCATTAATATTGACAATAAAAGTGTTTCTTTTTGTTAACATGAAATCTAACCATCCTGGCTCAAGTCTCTTGTCTAGAAGCAAAGGCCCTAGAAGAAAACAGAAAAGGCTTGGAAAAAACTGCCAGGGCTAAAGAAACGCATTTATGTGAATTTGCAAAGGAGGCTTCAGAACCGGACTTCCCAGGAATGCAAGCAACACTGCAGTTAGAACTGGGAATGCCGGAATGTGCTGGGGCCTCAAGTCACAAACAAACCCTTCAGTCACATAAATGGTTTGTCCAAAGCCCCACATTTTAAGTTGCCATTTGCTTTCATATTTTATTCTGAACCCCAGACTGAACTGTAGACTAGTTGAAATCTATTACTTACTGTTTCTATAGAGCGTGTATGCAAAATTACAATTACTTCCTCATCTAAATACTGAATGCTTTCCTCCCGGCTTAGAAGAAAATATTGCTAGTGTGTATGTAATTTGCTTGAAACAAGAATTCAGATGAGTAGTTAACATAAATCCTGTGGGATGTGTTTTCTTATGCTGCTTTTGCTCTAAACTCTATATTTTACTACAAAATAGCAAAGATCAGATTTACAGTACCTCTTAGGACCAGTATAATAACATTAATAACACCTCCCATGTATATACACGCTGCCTCTTATGAAGCCCTTTCACGTGCAAAATCTTTTGTTCCCTTTAGTCTGAATAAGTATTTTAGCTTTACAGACAGACTTGGATACCTGTCAAAATATCTAGTTCTCCCTTATCAATGAAATCCCTCCAGAGCAGTAGCATATTTGCCAGTTAATATGGAGATCTAGTCATGATTATTTGGAGAAAGTGGAAATTCCCACTGTCTATAATCCTGGATGTTAAGATTTTTCTTACACGTTGTACACCTTAAACTTACACAATGTTATATGTCAGTTATATCTCAATTTTTTTAAAGACTTTTCTTAAAAGAGTTAAGGACAAACCTGTATCTTAGTCTTTTTCGACAGTTTCGGATTCAATGACATAAAAAAACCTTGTAAATCCAAACGTTGCTGGAAGGCAGATTAGAAAGGAGGGAAGAAGAGAAGGGAGGAAGGAGGGAGAGTGGGAAATAAGGAAAGGGATGGAGAGAGGGAGGGGGAAAGAGAGAGAGAGAGTAAGGCTAAATGGGAAGGGAGGGACTTTACAAGCACCAAACAGGTTCTGATTTTCTCCACTGACTTAAATGTTTCCTAATCAAAGCTGGACTGAAGGAGTCCTAAGCAATCAGCCCCTCCATAGTCATCACTGCAGCAGGATCGGCCCCTCCCTACCCACTTCTCCACAGATCTGCTCTGGATGAGGAAGAGGAGGGAAGAGGGCTCACTCACCAAATACCCCACCCCCATCCCAAAATCCAAAAAGAAAATGCTCAGAAGAAATAAAACTCATAAAAGCCAAGGGCAGCTTTTCCTGCTCTTCATTTTTGAAACAGACATGAAAGTCCAATCGAACCAGTTAGTTTGAAAGTCCAATCGAACCAATTGATTCTGCTTTGTAGAGCCCCACAACACATTTCTGGAGCCACTGTCACTTGCCATGTTGGTAGACAACTATTTCCCAAAAGGAAAACAAGAAAGGGAAGGACTAAAAAAACCTCAGTTAAAGGGAGACCCTTGCCCTACTCAGACAACATGCATTGTTCTAGATGTCCTAAAGGTTCTAGGACTAAGCGGCTAGCATGTAAAATGACTCAATCCGACCCTAGTACAGACAGGAATGCGAAGTCGTCAGTGTCACAAGAAATACTGTCCTTGGAGCAGGTGGCGTTGGGGTTACATCTTCAAGAACACATGGCTTTTCTGCAACCTTCTGGGTTTGATGTTCTTTCTGGGATTCTTAGCATGTTCTGGAGGTCACTTTACATAACACCGTTATAGACCTATAAGAGAATGCTCAGTCACTTCAACTAGGTTGGTTGGGAAAATAAGGTAAAACGAGATTTGAAAAACGATGAAGGGAATTGAGCCATAATTCCCGTAAACATAAAATGTGTGTTTATGGCCCTCCGGCCTGGTTCTTTTCAGGTCCAGTTTATTTTGAGTTCTCAAGAGCAAAACACAAGATACAAACTGCCCTTGCCTTTGAAATAATAAATACCTCAAAAAGATCTGTATTTTCCCTAAAAACAGACTGAAGTTTTTAAAAAAATATTTAGTTTAAACCAGATTGATTTTAAAAGTAATATCTCACAAGACCAAAATGTTTGCAAGGGAGTGCTCAGCCTCTCCCGTGCTCTTTGAATCTCTTCCAGGGGAAGGGGTGGAGTGAAGGGAAAAAGACAAGAGACGTGGGCGCAAAATAAATGTTTGAACCCAGTTCTGTCTGTTTAGCTGGAGGCAGATGTAATACGCAGCACAGTGGACACACCATCAGCTATAATGAAGACTGTGGACACAGAATCACAAACATTCCCCCAAACTGGGGCTGCCTTCCTGGGAAGCAGTCTCTCGAGGTAAGATGGGTTGCAGCTCAGCCCAGGGCCTCGGAAAAGGAGAGGCGGTTAGTATGCCCTTGCCGGATTCCTCCTGCAGGCTCCCAGGGACGCCTCCAGTCCACATCATCTCAGCTGCTCAGTGTTTTTGAGTACTCAGAACACATGCCCTTCTAGAGCAGCACACTAGAGACCACACTAGTACAGCCCAGGGGTCGGGTCCCTGGGCTCACATCTATGCCAGGAACTTCATCCTCCTCTCTTTTTCCACATTTCCCCTCCATCACCACCACTACCACTTTCAGAAGGCACAGGCCACCTAAATTGAGAGCAAACTTGAGATGGCATCTTTGCCTCACAGCTTTCCAAAGCAGCAGGCTAACCCAGCATCCCACTAGACCTGGAGCAAAATGTGTCAAGAAGAACACTAAGAGAAAAAAGTGCATCAAGAGTGGAGCTCAGCCAGTCTGGCCTGTGTCAGCAACTACTGCTGAAGACACTCGAGTTCATCCATTTGTTCCCTACCTCCAAGCCGCCTTCCTAAGGCTGTAGCCCTGAGTTTGGTTTTCTGAAATACATGGAGCCCGAGACCCTTGGACCACATTAATTAACTGATAATGACACTGTCAGTGAGGACTGATGTTCAGATTAGCATCTTTTACGACTTTCTTCTGTCCCATGTTGTCCATCTCTTTTATCATTTGCCGTGCTAGCAGGGACCATGAAAAGATTCACCCATTTTCTGTTTCAATTAAAAAAGCATGAGAAAGGCTGAAAGTGGCAAGTACTGAAGCCCTCACCACTGAGGCCACTTGCCTCTGGTGGACACAGCATCCTAATCCCCAAATCAGCCCTCTGCCTGGTCTCTTCTTCCTCCTTTCAATTCTCAAAGCTCCCTCTGAAAACACCCTACCAACTCCTTTCCCTGAATTTTTATCTGTTTCTAGCAGGAATGCAACCATCTTACTTTGTCTACCTGCTCCCAAGGCCTAGATGTGTTTTTATAAACACACTTTTTTTTAATGTATCAAATGTCAGAGGATTGAACTACCAGTATTTACACATTCAGGGTTGCCTTCCTGGTGAAAATGTAAACAGAACCCCGACCACACTACCTATATTCTTTCCTTGAAGAACAAGGTCTTGAAAAGACTCTCCTTGTGCTCATAACTGCAGACTCACCAAGCTGGGGGTTCGAAGCTCTAGGTCGCTATTTTGTTCCCAGTGCAAAGGCAAGCCCCTGGCACTTACCAACAAATCTGGTTTCAGCTACTCCCCGCCTCTTGTTCTCTGCACTCAGACGCTCTGCTGGGGGTGAGGGGGGAAACTGACCCCTTGCCGAGGAAATAAAATGGGCCCTGCATGGACTCCCAGCCTGAGATTCTGTGTCCCTCTGAGTTCCTTCGCCTCTCCTACTACCCAGCCGCTGCAAATCTAAAAAACAGTTCTCAATGCTGCTGCCCAGGGCCCCCAGGGTAGTGGCTGGTGGGGCCCGAGTCCCGAATCCCTGGCAGCATGGGAGCTGGGCGCCCCCCAACCCCGCCCTCCATTCGCTCTGATCTCGCCTTCCATCCCCGAACCATGTACCCCGCGGCGAGCGCCCAGCGGACAAGGAAAGGACTGTCTTCCCCTAGTCCTTGGGGCTCCCTTTGCGGCCTGGGGCCTGACTCTGCCTCCAAAAGACGATACCCAAGGTGGAGTCGTTGGTCTCCCCGGGGGGACCCCGGCCCGCGCCGGCTTCTGCACACTCCGCCTTCGGGTGCCTCTAATTTACGGCCCGCGGGCTCCTGTTGACACCGTTTTCCACACGGAACTCCATGGGTCGGAATCCTCATCTACACATCAGCCTCCCCTCGCGGCTCCCAGGCAAGCCCCAGGGACAATTTCAGCTCCTGCCACTGTCCGCCCCCACCCCCCAGCCCCTTGCGAGCCTTCTCAAGATGCTCACGCCACGCGGGCGCCGCGGCCCCAGTGCCCTGCGGCCCGGTGACTTACAAGTGGAGATCCATTTTCCGTTATAATGCGTTCAAGATCACCAAGGCCAGCAGTCTAAACATCCACGAGCCGTCCTCCCGGCTTGCCTCTTAAACTGGTGTTTAATGGTTCCCCTCCGATAACTAAACCTGCTTTCCACAGATGCCCGCTTTTATGGGAGAGGCAGGAATGCAGAGACATATTTATATGTTTGTTCATAAAAACTGGAAAATAAGCTCTGAACAGGCTGTAAAAAATATTCGGTTACTTACCAGACAGGCTAGTTAAACCAGGGGAACACCGATACCGGCCACACCACAAATTCGGGGAATCGAGGTCCCTGCGCTGTGAAATCGCCCAAGGTCTTCGTTGGGGCTGATCTCGCTGAAGAATATGGACATAAGAGCATTTACAATCGACTTGACCGTTCGTCCGAGGGTCTCAACCATCATCTCCAAAAGCAGCCACACTAACATGAGCCACCCCAGGCGGCCCGGGCAGGGGTAACGTGGTGGGTAAGAAAAGAGACACCAAGACGGGCGTTTCCAGCCTGTGCCCAGGTCACAGCAGCAGCCTTGCCCTGCCGCGCCCCGTGCCCGTCCTGGAAGAGACAGCGCCGCTTCCAGCAGCCCCTTTGTGGGCGCCCCAGCCACCCGCCTCCTCTGATCTCGCCCCCGCACAAAACTGCACGAGGCTGCCTGCTTCTTTTCTTACCTCAGTTACCTACAAAACACTTCGAAAAGCAATATCTGCGTTTTTGTTTTCTTTTTTAACCAGAAAAGAAAGTAAAGTGATACTGTACCTGGTTTGAGATTCTTCAATATTTAAGACTTGAGGGAAAAAAATATTTTAATAGTGAAGCATCTGTTAAACACTTGCATTAACCTCTGGCTGATAAAAAAGTTTTTTTAACCCTGCCCCCCCTCGTTTTAATTATCTTATGGTTATGAAGGGGCAGCCAATCCTGGAAGAGGACCTCGGCAATTAGCAAGGAGAACATCAAAAAGTTTTATTGCAGCGAGCGCGAGGCGCCGCCCCCGCCGCCCCGGGATTGGCGTGAGGAGCCTCTGACGACATATATTAACCCGAGCGGACCTAAAGATGTAGCTGTACATGGAGATCTTGCTGGGAAAATCCGCTTGCTCCGCTCACGGCGTCCAGCCCAGGAGAACCACCGCCGCCGCCACCCAGGAGCTCCCTCGGCCACTGCGCAGACCCCTCCGAGAGCCGGAGCCGCCGCCTTCGCGCTCCAAGGAGCCTGCAGGGCCCCAGATCCTTCCCCCGAAAGAAGGAGAGGATCTGAGAAAATGGATGCACTGAGACCTCTCTGAAAATCCTCCGAGGGAGCCCGAGAGGAGCGAGGACACGTTACTAGCAGCTAAAATCACGTTCAAGGACCAAAACAACAACAACCAAAAAAATCATTAAAACAATAAGCGCCCAAGAACCCAGATCGGGCTGGTGGGGGGAGGGGAAGGGGCGGGAAGGGGAGGGTCGCATGGAGGTAGCTTCACAGTGAGCAGTCGACCCCGCCGCCTCCCTGCAGAGCCGGGCCGGTTCCTCCAACCGCGGCTCGGACTCGTCCTGGGACTCCGAGTTAGCTTCGGTACCAGGAGCGCGGCCGGGGCGTGGAGCCCGGCGACTCCTCAAAGCAGCCTCGCGGGAGCCCAGGCACCTTTGCATGAGCACGAGAGGATTCTGCCTCCCCAGAGCAGCCCAGGAAACAGGAGCCGGCGCGCGGGCCGTGGAGCAAGGCGGGAGCCGGCGGCGGCGGCGGCGGCGGCGGC